GTGGCCCAGCCCGATAAGATTCTATAAAAAGAAACGCCACAGTTCGAGATTTAGCCCACACTCGGCGGCCATATTTGATCCCCACCGCGGCGTACTGCTCGTGGCACCGCGAAGAGAGAGAGGAGGCTCCATTAGTTCTAAACTCCTTGGTGAAGACCAACTAGTTCGATCTAGTTGTTGTTCTCATTAAAGGCTAGATGAAAATTTAGCAGCAGCATCAACATATAAACTACAGCAGCTGCGCCAGAACCAGTAGCGATATCGACACGTGCGCAAAAGCAACGAACCAAGTAAATACATGTAGATCTATGTTAGGAAGAGTTTGGGTACATCTAGTTTCATTTTGCTTCATTTCTTGAAGAAATAATTCTTACAATTTAACCCTTTGGACATTGTTACAAGAGCATATTTCGTTACACAGTATTCATGATATTAGCAGCGGTATAATATAATTTAATAAGCTAGTACACATGTATCACATTTCCTAACTTTTATTTGGAGGGACGTAGGTTCAGTACTGTTGTAGATGAAAAGGGAATTGACTTACGTTAAAACACTTCTAATATTACGGCCTACAGCCGAGACACAGTCGCCGTAAACTCAAGGGGAAATGAATTCGAGAAAAGCACTTAAAATAGTACAACGGAATATTTGTTGAGATATATAATATAGATCTATCCGCGCAGGTGGTGTTTGTTGGGGCTATCGTACTCGCAGGAAGTAACAGTTTGAGCTTGTCTGTATGCTCGTAACTCGTATGGGTTCCTGTTGACCTTCGAAAAGTCATGTCACAGTATTAATTTGTGTTATCGACGAACACGTTGTTCGTGGGTGCACCTGAATACAATGTCACGTTTCACTCGCAACATGTAAACAACAAGGTAGGGCAATAACAAGACCGGGTCGATAATGTTGCACGTGAAGAGATAAAGGTTATCATATTCCTTACTTTTAATTCCAATGTCTGATGAGTTCTCTATGACCAACTGTCCCTTCAGTGTGTTGCCGCTCTCCACAGTACAATCAGCGTTGTTGATAAGTATCTCAAACGTCTTCAGCTGTCCCATGGTGTGACCTCAGGCAAACTGCATGGTTAGACACACGAAATGGTTAAAGATTGGTTATTAGAGAAAGGTAGAACAAAGATGGTCATGGAGGGTAAAATGACAAAGATCATACATGTAATAAGAACATACGCACCACTCTTATTAAGGTCCAAATTTTCTATTTCTCCTTATTATTCGCTGTTGTTGCTGCTGCTGCTGCTGCTGCTGCTGCTGTTAAAATGAGTCTTCCCAAGTTGCCCCAAACCGTTCTCTAAGGTCGAAATATGAATAGGCCTTCAACATGTGATGTCAAGATGAACGTTTCTGCTCTCATTTCGACATACGAAATGCAAAACAGAACAAAACTACGCCCCGCCCATGCTAAAGGCAACGAGAATCATAGTCCCTAATGTGTTGAAGCAAAGCCTTCAAGCCTGGCGTACACAATGTAAACAATCCGGGTCGCTTTACGCGACGGATCAAGGAGATGAACGGTTTGGGGTTTAGTGCCGTTTTTGTTTTGTTTGAGGGGGGGGGGGTGTGCAAAAGTTGCCGATCGTGTCCTCTCGGCGTTGTGACATGCCCCACTGTTTTGAAAGCATGTTCTTCTAAGCAACAAACACAAGGTCACTAAGGAAAAAAACAAACCCAAACAGCGTTATCACTATGTCAATACTTCACTGCGTGACAAGACAAGGATCCCCTTTTATGAAACTTTCCACCTTAAAGAACAACTAAATATTTAGTCTATAAAACAACATATGCGTCTATCTATCTATCTATCTATCTATCTATCTATCTATCTATCTATCTATCTCTTTCTATGTCTGTTGGCCGCCTGCCAGACTGTCTGTTTGTCTCTTTATCCATCTATCTGTCTGTCAGTCTGTCTGTCTATCTGCCTGTCTATCTAACTATCTATATGTCTGTCTATCTATCTCCTTCTGACTCTTTCTCAGTGGCGTGTGTTTGTAAGTCATAGTTAAATCATTATTCAGAAGTGTCAGAATAAATAATTAATTATTGTTCTGTTTCTTCAAACCTCCACATGTGACTATAAATCTCCCATTATAAAACTTTAGGCCTAACACACATGATATCTCAGACATAGGAAATACGTCCTCTAACTTACCTTCACAAACAAAGTAATAGTTCACAAAACAAAATAATAGAAATGTTCTGTCAACTGTTGATGATGTCTCCAAATTAATCCAGTTTCGTCTCTAGCTTCTCTCCAAGAATGTGGGTGGCTTTTATAACGTGAGAAATCTCCGCGCGTCTTCGCGAACAGCTTGACTTCGCCCCACATATTCATAATGGCAGTATCGATTATTTTATTCAGTTGGGTATCGAGATGTCCCTACTGTGGGCTGAAGAAACACACCCACATACTCTCTCTCTCTCTCTCTCTCTCTTTCTCTCTCTCTCTCTCTCTCTCTCTCTCTCTCTCTCTCTCTCGATCTATCTATCTATCTATCTATCTATCTCACACACACACTGCACTATCTCTCTCACCTCAACTCTCTC